CGCGACCTACGCGGCCTACGCGGCCTACGTAACCTGCGCGTACGCGACGGCGGAATTTAAAGGAAAACGCGATAAGAACGCGTAGATACCGCCTAGAACTGCTAACGGCGCTTCTTTACTAAAATTTAGCTAAGCTAGCGCCGCTAGTGTTCGCTCGGGTATATATTCTTACTCTGCCTATTTCTCTAACTATTTCTTCGACCGCTTCGGCTTCTTACTCGTAGTGTCTACGCTCTTACCCTTCCGCTTCTTTAGCGGCGGCGCTATATCGTTAGTCGCTCTTAGAAGACAATAGCTCGATATAACGTCGCTTAGCAATAGCGCTTATAATAGCTTCGGCGGCTTTGTTAGTACGAGAATAGCGTCCGGATACGTATTCTTAAAGTAAGTAAGAACGAGGTCGGTAAAGCCCTTCCTAATATTGTCGCCGGACTCGTAGAATACTATTAGCATCTTCGAGATAATAGCCTCGCGCTTCTCGTTAGTCTCGTTAAGACCTTCTTTATTATATAAGCGCTCGAGTTAAAAGATTAACTCGTACGCGTTATAGAGAGTCTTACGTACGTCGAGTCGATAGGTAGGCGCATACGGCGCGTTAACTACGACGTCCTCGCCTTCCGCCGCCGTCGACTTAGTAGTATCTTCTTCGTAGATTTCGAAGGCGCGTCTAGCGAATATATTTACCTATTGTTGCTAGTAATAATCTTTAATAATAACGCGTCTAAGTGTAATATAGTAGTACTAGAGGTTAGCGTAAAGTATACGATACTAGTAGAAGAATTTATAGTCGTAAGTAAGCGCGCCTTCCTTACTCGCTAACTATAACGGCTTAGGGTCGTAGTATACTAATTTGTCGTTTACGAGATTAATCTAAGCGCTAATCTTGCGCTATATAGGCTACGGCAGGCGTAGAAGCTAGGTACGGAGCTCTTCGTCGTCGCTACGCGCGAGAGGGTATATATTTAAAGCCTATCGTCGCGAAGCAATATCCGACCGAAGGTCCTTAACCTAACCTTTATATAGGCACTATATCGCTACCCCTTTAAGTATAAAGTCTGCCGCTATTAGCGACTTATTGCCGTCTATTTTAAGACACGCGTAGAAGCTCTTATTTATGTTTATATCCTTATATTAGCCGACGATAGTAGGTACGTTATAAACGCGATAGTAATTTGCCTATAGCCGAATATTACTACTAAAGTTACGCTCTAAGTACGTCTTATTAGACTCGTAATCGGCGTTCTTTAGAAGGCAATCGATAGCAGCTTATAGCGACTCTTATACGCCTGCGAGTAAGCGACGATAAACAATAGCGGCGCGGACGTGTCGACGTGTTTCTTAGTAGATTTTAGCGCTAAAATGTCTGTCGATAGTACGCTATACGTATACGTAATAAAGAAGGTATATTATCGATAGAAATACTATTCGAATAGCGCGTCGCTCTGCCGCCGAGTCGTCTATAAGGAGGAATTTAGGTAGCTATTTGCCGCCTATCTACTCGCTCGCTATACGTAAAAACTCTATAATAATATTGCCGTTATCTATAGGCGAAAGCATATATACCGCTATACGCGATATGCTATATTTGTCCTTTATTATAACAGTATAAAGGAACTAGCTAAGGTAGTTAGTCTTATACGTCGCGTCTATAAAGGCGATCGTAGTATAGCATTTAAGTAATTCTATACTAGTTTTAGACCTAAATACGACGCCGTAGGTAGTTTTGCCGTCGATTTAGCGTACGGCGGTTATGTTCTTATAAAACAGCTCTTCTATAATAATATATTAGTTGTTATTATAGTAGAAAACTAAAATTAAAACAAAGGAATCCCGCGGAACCTAAGATTTAGGGTTCGGGCTTACTAAGGCACGCTAGAAGCCGGACCGAGGTTCTACTATAGGTTCTAAAATTCTTAATTAGCTCGAAGCTAAGGCTCTACGGCGCTAACCGCGCTTCCGCTTTAACCGAAGAACTTTAAAATTTTCGAAGTTCTTTAAAATTCTAGCTTTTAGGCCTAGTATTCGCTAGCAACCGAGTCTAATATATTTGCCTATCGATTTAATAACTTCCGCGTTATTCTATTAGTCGATCGGAGTCCGGATACGTAGACGCGACGGTCCGTAGGCTTATAACCTAACCTTAGGAATAGTAAGAACATTAACTTACCTTATTAATACTACTCGTATAAGTCTTCCTTTTGCGCCTGCTATACTAGCGACGCGCCGCCGAGCCTACCGTCCTTATATGCCTTTCGAAACGCTCTACCGGAGTTTAGTACGTCGTACTTTATTATAAAGTCGCTGCCGGCGGCCTTAAAGAGCGCGTTCGCGACTAGGTCGTATACCGCCTTTAATGCCCTCTAGACTAAGCTCGGCGTGTATCTATAATATACCTCTCGACCTACGGCGGTTAATAACGCGCTATACTAATAGAAGAGGTCGAAGTTGTCTAATTTATAGTAGTCCGAGTAGTCCTCGCGACTAATACGCTATACTCGATACGCGATAATCTCTTTACTATTACTATAAATGCTTACAACCTTTATTATAACTAGATAGTAACGCGCTACTTCTATCTTTTTATCGTTTCTTCGCCGACTAAAGCCTTACTTCTAGTCTAATTTCTAGTACGGTTATTTACGGAAGCGGCAAACAAAACGCGTTGTTTCTAATTCGTTCTTCTCGACGTAGACTCTATCCTTTACTTATATATTATCGACGTATAGTAGTAACGCGTACTATTATTTAGCCGATACTTCGAACGAGTCGTCGAATTTGTAAAGAATAGCTCGTTCGCGCTATTCGCGGAGGTTATCGACGTACGGTAAGGAAGCGTATATAGTTTCTAGGTTTACGAGAATCCGAGAAATGCGCTTACGGCGTAGCGCGGAGGACTCTAATAAATCTAACGCGTCTTTATTACTAGAATTAATAGTATCGTCCTCCTCTAACGTATCTATCGATATATTAGCGATTCTAACCTGCCTACTACTAAGCGAAGCCTACGTACCGCCCTCTAGCGCGAAATCGCCCTAGGCCTACGAGGTAAGTATACTATTACTATCTCCGACGAGGTCGCTAATAGTAGGCATTTTTAGTAGATAAGGCTTTATTAGAAGAGATAGAATTAATATAGTAGCGAGCGATAGTAAGGTTACGAGCGATAGCAAGGTTAGAAGAGGTATACAAAACAAGCGCCTAAATAATAGAAAGCGCGTCGACGCGCCGGAGCGGAAGCGTATATAATCTATACCGACCGCCGCTCGCTAAGGTCTACAGAGCCTATTCTTAGTGGGTCGGCGCACGGCCGCTAGTACGGTGTTATATTCAGGTCCCAATATCCAACATCCTCCTCGGCACGATTAAGAGGGTTCAAGGTTACTACTTGCTAGCCAGACCTGTTCGTTCTGAATTTCTGGTGCAGAACACCAGAGTGCGCTAGCAAAGAGAAGTCCGAACCCAATCGCTCGATGCTCCGACCGAGGCATACTGTAACACCATGGAGCCTTTGTCGGGACTATAGCGAATCGAATAGAACCTTGGGAAGGGTATGGAATCAGAGAGTAGCGAAGCGAGTGAAAAGAGACGCAAGGCTAGCCTGAGATGGGCATTGATTGCAATACAGCCTCGGATACAATATGTTCATGGAGCCTACGCGGTACATCGCGCACCATGACCTACCCTGGCGAACGTCACTCACCCTTCGTGCCTCCTTCTGATCTTGTGGACGACGACATACAGCTGATTGTTGTGACTGCGATCCCGCATACTAGCTCGTATGAGAGCTGTAATCTCTCCTGGAGTTCTCTTTCGACCATCCACCTCGTATGCTGCCGTAGCTCTGGCATCACAGCTATCGAGCACTTGCTGTACGTCTGCAACACAAGGCACCTGGTTCGGGCTGAACGATTTCAACTTCCAATCCTCCGATTCTTGGTCTTGGGGGCGGTAGAACATCGTCATGCTCTGTTGGGCGCCGCTCATTTGATCATCCGGAAGGGGAGTGGGTGTTGGTGTGTCCGGCGAGAACAATTCTTTTATTCGCTTCCAGAACCGCGTCATGTCACTCCACTTCCTCTGCTCATGATGGATGTGAGGAGTATCACTTACGCTATATATATGCCAGCATTGATGTGTGTTTGCTTGCTCGAACAGAGAGCTTGCACAGGCATGCACTAGAACGCTCCGCCACCCCTGGAACGCAGGCGAACGGATCGGAGGCACACCAGGCAAAAGCTGGGGCGACAGCAACTCGCCTAGCGCATTGGAAGTGACGGACAGAGGGCAACTGGCCCTTTCCGCACCATGATTACAGCAAGGCGTTCGCCTCGACAGCTACCGCCCACACAGCCAGTGCGTATGACAATGTTTTGCAGAGGGAGTAGACACCGGCAGGAGTTGTCTCTCACCAATTTGACATCAGTCTCGCAATCTCTGCTCCGACTGAGGCTATCGCGCTTTCAGACCTCATCGTTCGCCCAGAAAATTCGCTGCTTCTTTGTGAGCTCTGAGTGATAATTGGCGAGATCTCCTGGCAACTCTCATTTGTTGCTTGCTGACAGTCGAGAGGGCTCTGCTTAGGCAAAACTAGGTGCGGCGCTTCCGTTGCATGCAGAGACGTGTCATTGCGGAACATAACATGAACGAAGGAGTTCTATTTCAAGTAAGGATACTTGAGTCTCGGCGTGTCATTCTTCATGAACTTCCAAAATCCTGGCTGATACCCAGTTTCTGCTTCTTTGGGCTGGACTTGGCAGGGCTGAGTCGATGTTCCAGCCTTGTCTTACATGTCTCTTTGGGCCATTTTCTGGTTGACTGACGATGCCTATATAATCTCCAATCGACTGCGCTTTGCATCGATTGATTATATTCTCATCTCATTCTCTAATCTTCTTCAGCATATTACCTTCGACTTCATGGTGCTGGTCACCCTTCTACATCTTCGATTCGCCTAAGCAACTTTGTTGGGAAATACTTTCAATCAGGACTGCCCTCGCAAGATGTCCATTCGCACTCCCCATCACTGGCCTGAACATGGCGTGCCACTCTACTTCTTTGACTCACACACGAGACCACTTCGCAAAAACACCACGTTTCTGAAGCCAAAAATCGCTGCCATTCGTTCCCAATGGGAGCATATGGATCTCGAGACATTATCCAGCCGAGTGCGGGCAATGACAGACTGGCTTCACCCAAATGACCGCCGCAGATCTACCCAGGTCTTTGCAACATTCATAGCTGCGGAGACCATCAGAAGAGACGGACGCCAGCGCAAGCAATCTCGGCGCTACGATCCATCGTACCGTACTGCATCGTCTCATCCGTCAACGCCCAAGAAGCAAAGTAAGTTACCTTGAGGATCCAATGCGGTCAGATGTTAATCCCGATGCAGCAGCCAAGTCCAATGCTCAATTGCCTACTCCTGAACCGACGCCAGGCCCTACACAAGACATCGATGCGCCTGACAGCCCATCCCGCGACTCTCCCGTCGCACGACGACCAAACACCCGAATTTTCACTCCAGAGGCAACGCCACCTCCAGCTGTTGCGACCACTGCATCAATGCCAACATCTGACAAACCACCTGCACCTTCCCAGCTCGGTTCGGCTCGGACAACCATGAGTCCAGCAATGGCAGCCAAGATTTCACAGTTTGAGAGGGTCACCCGTGTAATGCTCAGAGAGCTCCGGCGAAGCTTGCTTGAGGAGGAGAATTACACAGAGGCAGAGGCGGAGGGTCTTCTTCGAGGAGTTGTTGACGGTCTTGTGGACCTGTCTGATGCTGAGGAGGTGGTTGAGGGCTAGTGGGTGTGTGCTCGGGAATCAACTGTAAATATCATGATCTTTTACTGTAATGGATAGATGTACAAATGGGAGGCATTTGTCTTTGCGATCTTGCTTTCCTTCTTTTTTCTTCTTTTTTTTGTGCGTGGTTTTGGCAGAACGGATGAGGCAGGGGTGAAGTAGGACGCACGGGCCACGAAGACTTGGCAGCAACGACAACGGCATATCTCCTTTCTCTCTCTTCTCTCAATCCATCGATGCAAGCTGTGGCGAATTCAAAGTACACTATTGCATGGCAATCTCAAGGTCAGTACAGCACCGAAAGCTTGCCATGTTGCTTCCTTTGTGGTGGGTTTCTGCTCTCGAAGTGCAAAGGTTCTCGCACAATACTCATCTCCAGGTCAGTTGTCAAGAGCGCCGCCTACGAACCGATCAATACTTCGGGAGTTCCTCTCTACAAGATAGAGCTGAGCTCTCTTACCGCATGCTCATCGCTGTGAGTACGTGTGTGTCTCTTGGAGCGCTCGGGCAACATGCTACAGTTCGGCCAAAGAAGATGAACCAGTGAAGATTGTGTAGATATGGTTCGCGTAATGCGAAGGCTCTGGAGTTCAAATGACAAAATTATAAAAGAGCAGCGGTTGCAACGCGCCGAAGTGTGACTTGAATCTTTCAAGCAAGTTGCGATCTGGACGACAATTATGAAAGAGCTTCGCTGCTCGCAGCTCGACAGTGAAGAATCGGAGCATGAGGCGTTGAAGAGAGCGGCCCTGCGAGTGCCATACAAGGCTCGCAGATCCTGCTGTCGTGTAGTTCGAAACTTACATCGTAACCTGTCCCACACGACAGGCTGACAACTGCCGAATGGAGAAGTGGGGAAGCTCCGATATATCGGCTCTGATCTGTACTTGCAGAATTTCCGAAATATATGGAAATTTCAGGACAAGTGAGGCCAGGCCAGTTCCAAGGACAAAATCCTTAAGAAATCATGGAAAATAGCACCAAACCTCAGCTGCCATCCGGGACTTATGGCTTCATTGGTCTCGGAAACATGGGCTACGGTATGGCCATGAACGTTCGCAAGAAGATGCCATCAGGATCAATCCTAGTCGTTTGTGAATTGGATCAGGCTCGAAAGGAAGACTTCTGCTCCGAAGCTAGGCAATACGGAAAAGTTGAGATTGCTGATACTCCCAAAGAGGTTGCCGAAAGATGTGTATGTATAATGCCTGTCTCTACACCAATACCTAATTCACCATATCAATACCGATGACGTGACGACAGGACACAATCATAACCTCCCTTCCACACGGCCCAGCCGTCTCCAAAGTCTTCACAGACCCCACGACAGGTCTCGTCGCAGCGTCGAAACCTTCAGCTAGCAAGCTCTTCCTCGAGACGTCAACGATCGAAGTCAGCACATCCTTACAAGTCCTCAAAGCCGTCGAGTCCTCTGGCCTAGGTGTCTTCCTCGACGCTCCTGTTTCAGGCGGAATCCCACCCGCTGCCAACGGCACTCTCACATTCATGGTCGGCGGACCAAAATCCCTCTTCGACCAAGCCAGCCCCGTCATGTCGCTAATGGGCACGAAACTTTTCCATTGCGGCAAAGCTGGAGCGGGATTGGCGACCAAGCAGATTAACAATTACGTCGCGTATTGTAGTTACATCGCACTCTGTGAGGGCATGAATACGGGTGTGAAGTATGGGTTGGATCCGAAGGTTTTGAATGGTATGCGACTATTCTTGCCGCTATACGATCATAAACATACATACTGAGATTTGGTTGATAGATGTCATCAACGCCTCCTCCGGCTGCTGCTGGAACTCCTTACACATGAACCCCGTCAAAGGCGTACAACCTGACTCTTCCGCTTCGAGGGATTTTCAAGGGGGGTTTAAAGTGGAGTTGGCGAAAGGTGTTACGGATATGGCTGTGCAGTTGATGGAGGAGGTTGGGGCTAAACATGTTTTTGGGGATGTTATGAGGGATGTTTTTGCGAGGGCGGTGAAGAGTCCGCTTTGTGCTGGGATGGAGAGTAGGAGTGTTTGGAGACTTTTTACGGTGGATGGGGGGAAGGGGTTGGGGAAGACGAAGATTGAGTGATGGTTTGTGAGAAAGGTTGGAGGGTTCTTATGGTGGATCGATTTGAATCCCGCGATGTTCGATCATGATCTTTGCCTAATGCTTTTGGTCGTCCTTGTATTGGTAGGCACTCTTTCAATTCTTGAGAATCCGAAGGTACGCTTGTCGGGCTTGTACTCATCGATGGATTTCTCTCGCGAAGCAACGCTAATCCCTCTCGCAATGGCCCGAGTCTTGAGCAGGTTGTCGAAGCTGCAGAGCTGATTCTCTGGCCTGCGTGCCACCCAAACAGCCAATGATAGAAATGACGCCTTCACATTGTATGGCTTTCAAGATTGAGCCTTTGTCGTCTCCCCTTCAACCACATAGATCTGATGCACTCCTCACCCACCTTCTGTACTGTAAGCTTCTTTGCCGCCTCTCCCATCTGGGGTTCGTCCTGTAATTGATGACGTGAAAATAAAATTGAATGGATGCTCAGACACTTTGCGATTTCTTATCCGGCTCGCCATGGCCATAGTTGTAGCGCTATGGCATGTATATGTACGAATCACTCACAGCTTGGGCTGCCTCGACGCTTCCTTCCACGTTCCACAGAGACCCTCCTCCGACGCGCCCAAAACCGGATCTCGCTCAGGCTTCGGGACATTCCAACTCTTCTTAAATTCTTCTTGATCTTTGGCTCGGACGGCAAAGTCCCATGAGCTGCCTTTCGGATAGCAGCCCATCATCGTGAAGCCCGAGAGCTTGATATCGCGTAAGACCTGCCTTGGATCATCGCCAGCAATATGGGTGCCACTCCCAGGGGTCAACAGCGCGAACTCTGCTGGAGTCGTGTCGTGCGTCTTGTGCGCTGTTCCTGCAGGCAATATAAAAACATCGCCGGCTTTCGCATGTATCTCAATCCCACCATCTTCTCTCGCCGTGCCATGCGTGCTCGCCTCAAGGTCTTCAGATAAGTCCCCAACACCGAACCGTATCGTAGCTTCGCCTGTCAAGACCGTCATACACTCGTGCGCTTCCGTGTGGTAATGCGATTGCTGTGTTGGGCCATATCGGAATATCCATTGTGTTTTCCAGCCATTGCTGTCGACCAGATCGTAGATCTTCGCCGCGTCATACCCAGCCTCTTTCTTCAGCAAACCCGGGTAGTGGAGTAGTGGGTGCGGAGAGTTCGGTACGAGTTTCGTTGGCGGGAGTTGGTATTGCTTCACTTGGACCATTCTGAGGATGTTTCTGGCTTACGATCTTCCTGTTGAAGGATGATGCGGTGGTTCAGAGCTAGGCCTATGCTCTCTATCATAGGCGGAGGTCATATTGCCCCTACGTGATGTCGTGGTGACCTGCTCTTTTGCATATGTCGTCGGAAAGTGTTGCCGAGCTCGGGTCCAAAGTCCGGGAGAGGGGAAGGCCATGACCATGACCATTGCTGTGCCAACAACATCTCGTGAAGAGCATCTCAACACCACTCGCTGAACATGCATTATTTAGCTCTGTACCGGGGTGGAATGAGACACTGCTGATTCCAGGAGCAGCAAAATGTCTGAAATCGAAAACGCATGTATACATGCGCCATTATTGCGTCTCGGGGTTGCTTTTTGGCCCCATCTAGCTTTCTCACGAATGCATGACGTTTGGCCTACCAGACTGCAGACGTGTTCGGACATGTCGTAGGAAGGCTTTATTATGTGAGCAACAATGTGGCTTACACTGGCCGCACCTGCTCCCACCGCCCACGAGCACAAAGAAAGCCCTCCAGCTGAGTCCTCGGGGTAAAGCCATTCCTGTTCAACCATACCAGCACGGCTACCTAATATTTCCTATCATCAACCTTCACACCTACAGGCCTCGTCAATAATTGGAACAGGTAGCTGCTGACCCCAGCGGCGCGCCAACCAATTCGCAGTCAAAAATATCTTACTCCTACCCTACATGGAGCCCTCATTCTTTAGCCACCTGCCACCCGAGATCCGGAATGCCATATACGAATACGTTCTCTACGAACCTCACGGAGCCGAAATATGGGATGAACCCGGACTCCTTCAATCGAGCAGCATGATCCGAGCAGAGGCCGAGCTCATGTACTATGCCATCAACAGCTTCAGAACCACAATTCACGAAGACCACATGAACCACCATCTTTGCCAATGGCTCAAACGGAAAGCCGGACAGCGGATCCATCTCATTCGAGGTCTGGATATATATGTCGAAATGCCATCACTTCAGGAAGTTGAGGACTGCGACGACAACTCGACCTTTTTCCTGCTCACGCATATTGTTGAGGAACTTCAGGCAACCTCGTTCAAGAACAGATCCACTGAATGCGTTGTGAGATGGTCTCTGAACGGCGCCAGCGATTCTGAGAGTTTTGAGAATATCAACGAGATGTCGGCGATCGATCAGGATAGATTTCGTGGTGCGAAGTTTTTATTGCTGTTTATGGTCAATGGTGCGGAGAAAACGTTGGATGCTTTGCATGCTGAGGACTCGGAGGCTGTGCTTGAGGGATTTGATGCGGTTGTGAGGAGGAATAGGGGGAGAGGTTTTGTGGGATGAAGGGAGGGGCTGAGGTCGTTGGGATGAAGGGAAATGGTAGTGTATCAATGATATTCGTCCTCTTCGATAACTCTTACGCGTCTTCAGTCCGTCCTCCATTAGGAGAGTCCGTCCGTTCTCTTGACCTCACTCTCTCACTTTTCGTACCATCCGGTACGTCGCGGTTGTGCACTCAACACAGTCTCATCTAGCACAATGCTGTGAGCTGTTTGAAGGTAGACGTGATGACATAGACTCTCACTATCAAGATTTCTATAATTATCAGATCCCAGCGTACACTGCGTTAGGTTGAAGTTGCCGAGAAGTCCGTTGCAAACTCTAGGAGGTGATGGTGATCGCGTCTGCTCTTCCACATGTCTTCCTCGTCTCCCTTGACACCCGAGTCTCATATTGCAAACCTTACCGAAGTGACAGTAAATACTCTTCCACATCCGTTGAATATGCTACGCAGGCGGAAAGGGCCACGCGGAAAGTGATGCTGAGAGCTTCCGTGTCCATTTTCCACGGTGGAGAGCTTCCGAAGACGGCGATATCGCATTCAGTAGCATCGTCGAGGTTAGAAGCAGGGTATAAATTTTTCTGTGGAGTTGTCGTTACGATAGGTGATTCAAAGACTCCACTTGTCATGCTGATATTGGCCTCCTCACACAAATCGCATGCGGCAGGAATACCAACTGCGGAGTTTCACATTTCAGTACGAGCGGAGAGTTGACTTGCGTGCTTGAAGTTTTCACCCGGAGCTGGGTATCCAATTCAGTCGTGGTGATATCCTGAACACTCACGTTTCCTGCGCCAGCTTCCATCTCCCAACGACTTTCAGGCCATACTGCATGGTGATGCCGTGACAGAGCACCTCTTCTGGTCTCGAGCGTCGCCTCCTACTCCCGCCGCATCATTCTCTCATTTACCATCCCGCCCCAGCGATCCTCTCCAAACACCTGCTCTCCGAGCGCCCACATCGCGTCGGCTCTCTGTTCCTCTCCCATCTCGAGAAGGCGTTGCCACATGCCGATGAGCGCAACGGTGAAGCGCTCAAGGAGCGCGTCTTCTTCTTCCTCGCTGAGCTGATGGGCCCCAGAGATGTCGGGGAGCTGTTCCTTCTTGTCTCCACCACCTCCTCCACTGCCACTGCCACCGCCACCGCCACCGCCGCCCTTTCCACCTCGTCCTCCTTCACCTGCGCCGGCTCCAGCGACGCGCTGTGTGGTAGTAGACACTAGTTGCGACGTTGTTAGCATAGTGCGCTGGAAGATCTCGAGTCAGTCGTCCACGTACTTGCCTGCGCCTGTCCGAGGTCGCTCTTTCGGGTTTGTCGTGTCTTTTTGATGTCGCTCTTTCTTGATCTGTGGTTTTGTAGGAAAAAGCGGGTGCAAAGTGAGTCGAACTAAGAAGAGCGGGACTTTCATGTGGAAGTGGCGACGCAAGGGTCCGTCCGTGCTGCCTTCTTGCGACTTTCTTCAGTCCACACCACACCAACCTTTCCACAACATCCATCCGCTGCACATATACGCCATCCCTCTGTCATTGCTCGTGGCATCTTAGCAGGCTGGCTCAGCAATCAGCATACTCACGCCGCAGGATCTTCGGCACACCGCAGTCCACAGCCATGGCTACACGTCCAGAGGACGGCAGCAACGCCGCAAACGGGTCCGCCAGTCCAGACGACGTGACTGCAATTAATTCTTCTCGCGGCGGCACGTCCACCGACTCGGACGGTCCGAACGACAATGCTGGGGTCGGCATAGAGGCCCCTCCAATGGTAAGTTATAAGTTCGAGGTTTTTCTGTCTGTATATTTGCTTTCTCTTCTGCGTTCTTGCATATATGCCCGCTGCGCGCATGACTATTGGCGTCTGCCATGCTCGTCCCAAACGGCACATCAAATCATACGTATCTCGGGAACGCGCACCCATATACGGATCCTCAACCAGACACCAAGCCAGTGCCGTCCAGGAGTCGTTGCAGGCTGGACTGAGCGTCACTCGAAGAGCGCTGTGCGGGTCCAGGCCCTGGAGGAGAGTTCATAGCAGTGGTGGTGGTCTCAAAGGAAGCTCCGGTGTGATCGGCCGGCCACAGAACCTCCACAGCCATGGCGACTGTCGTTCCGACCGGTATCGTCCTACCCATACTGCCGATGCGCATTCTCTGCATTGGCTTGCAGTCTCCCTTTTGCTGCATTGGCTGCTTTTGCTGCTTTCGAAAGCTGAATATACTCGCTCTTTTCGCTGGACTCTTGCGGCTACCCTCGCTGCTTCCCGAGCTGGCTTCGGGCACGCTCGTGAGAGCTCGACGTCGCATGGTGGGACGATGCAGCTGCGGTCGAGCAGCAGAGGATCCTGTCACTGTAATCTCGCCGACGGGCGGCAGATGAGAGCCATACTCCTCAGCCAAGCTCATGCGATTCTTGGCAGCTATCTCTGCGATGCCGTCGATTGCATCTTGGAACTCCTTGCTGCCGTGTACCGACCTGAGAATGTCGGCGAAGGCATACGACGATATCGGTGGTAGAGCTTCAGCGTCCTCTACTCGTCCGGGAGCTCGGTTTGCGAAGCCCTTCCTGTTCGTATAAGCTCTGACGAGCACAGGCTGTGCCATGGCAGCATCGCATTTCTGGGACTGTTGTTGCAAGACGGAGCGCGCAATATAGCTCGTACCACCTGCTGAGGTTCAGGTTCAGGCATCATCAGAGAGCTGGTTCCACGCGCCAAGCTCTTCCGGAGTCCTCCTGAGCTCCTGAACTCAGTCAGCATCTTTGGCCAGTCAAAGTGCATTGAAGTATTCTCTTCTCCCGATGCCAGTGAGCGAGCGAGCGGCAATCAGAATCTCTTGGTTCACATACAGATTGATTTGCTCTCATTCTTGCTCGAAATCCTGCGACAAAGGCCAGCAATCGCCGTCGCCGTCGCAATCCTGGCCCAGGCGCATCCCCATTGAGAGTTGAGAAGATCCCAGAACTTTTCATCTCCGCCCAGCGGTCTTGGCCGCCTCCCTTGACTCCCTTCCGACCTCAGTCTGCTTTCACACCAAGTATCGGCCTGTGGTCGCGTGCGTTTTCTGCCTCAGTCCTTCTCCGGCCAAGGGCATCATGGCAGAGGGAGACGAGTTCAGAATCAGAGGCGCCGCGTCGCGGTCAAGCGTCTCGGAGAAGAGTTCTTCGAGCTCCCAAGACCAGACCGGACCCGCAACCGAACAATCACCAGAACAGGCAGAACAGGCCGAGCAGGTGAGTTGTTGCTCCGTCGAATTGTCGACGTCTATGCCGGGGCTCCCACGCTTCCTCCGATGGGCCACACGGCGAGAGACCATTGCAAACTGGTGTTGGGCTGGCCTTTTCTTCTCTTGCAAATGTTCGTGCTGGCGCGACTCTTGTTGCGAGCGCATCTTCTCGAATGATTCGTGCCTTCTGAGATTGACATACTCATGCAATACTGCGAATGCGCTTTCATGGCTTGCTAACATGATGTAGGCGCAGGGTAAGGATGGTCCAGCAGAAGGCGATGAGACCACGAAGCGCCAGGAACTTGATGATGAATCGGTGAGTTGTTGCTGCCGCAGCGTCTTGCTGTGAAGCCAACTATCTCGTATCTCCTGTTTCGCTACCTAGGTAGAACTGTGTGTTGCCTGTGGTGGTTGCGGAGGCAATGCCGCTGATGCACCGTTGCAAAGCCAGCTTCACAGACACTCCGGCCACGAACTTCACCTTCCTCTCTCCCTGCACCCCCTTCGCATCATCACGCAGCACACAAGCCATGTCTTCAAACCATTCTGACGAGACCATCAAGATGCACGACTTGCGCGCCAAGTACAAGTGGTACAAATGCAAGGCCGAGGGCGCAGAGTACCCCGAAGGCTCATACTACTACATCCACTACGACACACAGCAAACAACATGGGATGAGCCAACCGAGCCTTACTGGATGTGGGACCCAGAGACCCAAGGGCCAGACATACGCATCGGACTGCTGAAGAATGGCAAGTCGAGTATGTATCTCCTTCGCCGCTCCCTACCCTGCAATGCTAACCACGTCTAGTTGGAACGGACGACCTCGCGGAGTCACAGCAGAAAGACGAGGAGTACCAGGGCTACAACCCAAAAATCCACGGAAACTATGACCCAAACGCCGACTACGCCAAGTTCCACGAGAAGAAGCGCCTGGAAGAGCGCTCGATGGACGAGCAAAAGGCCTTCATGGCCTCCACCCAACAAGCCGACTACGCCGCCACCATGAGTCTCAACCGCTTCACAGGCAGAGCTCAGGTCGGCGACCTCGGCCCCGACCGCCACAGCGACGCCGCCAAGAGCGGCCGCCAAATGAACGCTTTCTTCGACGTCGACGCCGCCGCCAATCAGCATGGCGGAAAGTCCCTCAAGGCTGAGCGTCGCCAGACGAGAGTGTCCAAGGAGGACGCGAAGAGGTACAATCAGGAGCGGAGGGAGAAGAAGGAGAAGAAGCGACGGGGTTGGCTTCAGAATTAATTCCAAAAATTTGCATGGGCCTTGTTTGGTGGTGTTTGCTGCGTTTTAATAATAGCATGAAGATACCCCCCCCAAAGAAAAATCCTTCTGGTTTGGAGGGAAAAATGAGAGAGCAATTGTGTCATGTCAGAAAAACAAAATTTTCATTCCTACTTCTGCTGACTCCGTTCGAGGGGATGTACTGAGCTCGCAGTGTCGCGACTGGCTTGAGATGAGCCATAGTGGTTTGTCGGAAGCTGAGGTATGTGAGAGTCCTTGGACTTATCTAGAAATCTCTGCTAACTCTGCGTAGAAGCGGGTTTCTACGCTTGTAGTGTCGTAAACGGCTCGAGATCAGCATAGTGGTTGGTTGGAGATGAAGGTATGTGAGAGTACTTGGACCTCTCTCGAAATCTCTGCTAACTCTGCGTAGAAGCGGGTTTCTACGCTTGTAGTGTCGCAACTCGCTTAAGATGAGCATAGCAGTTGTTTAGAGATGAGGGTATGTAAGTGAGAGTTCTTTCACTTCTCTAAACATCTCTGCTGACTCTGCGGAGAAGGAAGGGGTTTACTGAGCTTGTAGGCTCGGCACTTACACGGAGCGGTTACTCGGAGTTGGAGATGTGTGAAGAAAGCAATGGTGAGGGCCTACGATCGTCGCCACCGCTAGACATACCAACGGAGAATCATGTGACAGACTTAATGCACATGCATCTGTTCTGGCAGCGGGATCGCGTGCCTTCCACACTTCTGCGTGGATGCGCGTACCAAGCTCACTTCTGTTTGCAACAACAACTTCGCCGGAACAACAACATCTTTCGAACACTATCTTTCCGAACAACATCCTCTGCAGCACCGACAGTCGATGCGAGAGCTTGCGCGCGGCAAGGGTGTTCGCTACCGTTTCGAGCGGCGCAAAACAATGCAGCAGCAGCGCGATATAGAGCTACTATAGCGCGATATAGCGCTACCTGACGATCCCTTCGCGCCTTAGAGTAATAGCGCCGATGCTAACGAGAATGTCGATGCCAACGAAAATGTCGATGCTAATAAGCAATAGCTAATCGAGGCTGCGGCAACGCCCCTACTAGACGACAACTACGGCGGCACCTTTAACGACCTTAAGGACATCGACGATAGTGATTATCGCCATCGCACGGTTCCTGACATTCTTGGCGAGCCTAACACGTACGACCCCTTCGTCCGCAATAACGAATTCGATATATCTCCAGCTCCGAGTAACCGCTCTGCGCAGCTTGCCTCCGCGCGAGTGGGATATACTATGCTCGTGGCTTCGCAACTGGTTGCGAATGTATAGCACCGATGTACGGAGTTGAAGGTACGTACGTGAGAATACGACGAACTCTCTTGATGTTTATTGCTGACTCCGCGAACTCTGGGATGTGCGTCCGATTGGTGGCATACATGTTCTTCATATTCAGAGATTTTGAAGTTTTGTGGGCAGAGCAGAGCAGAGCAGACATGCTTGACGCTACCAGCTTTGACATGATTTCGGAAAATGACTACCCCCGACGAGAATGGCCTACCACATGCGTCGCCGGCTACAAGAGATCGATAGTGAACGAACCGTCGTCTCATCCTAGGGGCAAGCGAGCGGAGGACTATTCTAGCAGATAGCGCTGCCAAAGCTGGCCTCAACACCAACAAGTCGACAGGCAAGCAACACTGAGCAGCAAGCAAGGATATAGCCGCCCACAGATGCCGCGAGCTCGGTACCAGGAGCATCTATGCTGACATGTGTCCGCAGCTGAAGGTATTCCAAAATTTCCTCGTCTGATTCTGCGCGGCTTTACACCTCAGCGTTGGCACGCGCCATCGTTTCATCTTGACCATCAGGCTACCGACTCCTTAGAGAGGCTGGGCCTCGACGGGGAGGGGGGCGGCCATCGCCCGGCGAGCTGTCGAAGAAAGCGTACAGTGTGCACCAAGAGCAGTCAAGAGGGAGAATAAATGGTCATACCATCAACCATCAGTTGTGTTGTATGTATTCTTCCCCAGCTACATCGCGAATCCGATTGCTTCTTTCTTGATAGATAACGAGTGACTGCAGGTAAGCTCCATAAATTCCCTCCTTATACTTACCACTTTGATCTTGGATCGTTCTACCTACCCATTGCATCTATCATTTCCTCCATTGCCCGAATACGAATCACACCCCGACCCACAAACCGCGATCCAATCCAATCGATTATTCTTATTATCATTATTCCCCGACCATCCTCCTCCTCCACCATTGGGACTCTTGCACAAAAACACCGAATTATTCACAATCCCCGCTCCACTTCGAAGATTGATGCCCTTGGGTGGAGTTCTGTCGAGCGCGGAGATGATTTGGTCGTTGTTCCAACCTGAATTCAAGTCTTAGTAGGGAAGAAAAGAGGGATGAGAATCACGTACCGAGATTTTGGTTGGGACCACTGCCTTGGTTCTTTAGGAACCTTCCGCAATAGGTTTGACCGACTGCGCATCTGTTCGCGGCACGTTTGTCGGGTGCGGCGGTTGCGGTGGATGCTGCTGCGAGCATGAGGGTGGTGAGAAGTTGGGTGAAATGCATTTTTTTTTGGTTGGGAGTTTTGAGTGCTGAGTCTTGTTTGAGTGTTGGCGGTTGAGTCTTGACTCCGGGCCTTGATCATGGTCTTTATATCTATCCATGTGTGCTAATTTTTCTTGGAGGTTCGCCTTCGCTTTCTCAGCTATCATCATGCGACTTCCGTTTCGAGTCCAGTCTGCTTGTCGACGCTCTCACTGTACTCTTCGCCACCTCGGAAGAAGCGTGGTCCGTTCTAGTCAACCTGTTGTCGACGCCAAAGTCGCTTACTACCTGGCTGGATTGCCTGATTGCGATCGAATCCTCGCCATGGATTTCGTGGCTCATCAGGAGAGGAGGTGGAGAGGTGGTCGAGACAAGGCTTCTCGTAAAGTAGCAAGCCACGTCGAACACGATCTGTTGGCGACAAAGAAAACTTTTGTGAGGGGTTTCTGGTCTGGTGGAACTTGTCGACGGCAGCGTGGTACTGGCTTCTGGGCGTGGTATAGTCATGATGTGACTTTGTTGCTGGCGGAGATGATCGCTGGAAGCTAGATTTGTTGATTGTCAATGTTTGGTTACTAGTGGTTGGTCAGCAGTGAGCATCTTCCAATCCCGTGATGGTACGGTTGCGTGGTCTTGATGCAAATAGTCGTGCCAAGCAGCTGCACACTGCACCATGCGGAAGTTGTGATGCACTTTCGTGATACTGGAGTGTGATGATCATTCCAAGTCTATCTGCTGTGAAGGAGGTATCTGGATGTCTTACCATCTGGTGGGCGTCCACTGCTCAGATGTCCCTGCCTTCGTAACCAAAATTCGCTCTTGATCGCAGGGCAGGATCTCATGCTTCCCGCGCTTGCTCGCGTTCGTTTCCGGATGAGCTCTGGTCTTCCTTCATTCTTGCCTGGAGAAATGCCCTCCTCTCTCTCAGCTTTGACTTCGCCCCCGCCATCTCCCACAGCCGCATGTCATTCCGATGCCTCATGAGAAATTTTTCGTACTCAACACACCTTTCCTGCCGCACCCTCTGCACTCGTACTGCGGCCTTCTTGCTCATGAGAGGAGTCTTCGTTCGCGGGAACGTCGGCCGCTTGATTCGTTCCCACATGGGTTCGTCTTGTGCCATCATTTCGTCCATCGCCCGAAAGGTACGTCCGAAATCCCGTGCCGACCAGCCAGATGTGAATGGCGGCTCTGGTCCAAAACACGGGTATTCTTCGTCCTCTGAATCAGCCTGGTCGGAAGTTGCGCTTGATCCTTCATCGTCTTCTGAATCGGAAATTGCGCTTGATTCTTCATCATCTTTTGGGTCGGCCTTGTGGGGAGTTGCGCTAGGGATTTGGTTGAGTTCGAGGAGCAGCTCGTATGCGGTTTGCACACGCTTGAAGAGCTCCGTGTGAAGGTCACGGAGGTCGACACTGCATTTGTCGGGGTGCAGACGGATCGCCAGCGCACGATGGGCCACTTTGAGGTCACGCTGCGTGTAGCCTTGGGGCAGCACGAGGATGGCGCGAGGTGAAGATCGTCGGACTCGGGTGTAGATTTCTTCAAGGGTCATTTCTGCGACAGGAGAAGCCATGATGGTGCGATGGTATGCTAGACGGCAAGCGTAGCGGTAGGCAAGTAGTTGTCGAAAGTTGCACCTCAACGGACATCTCGAGAGTAAAATATATATCCAAAGGTCAGTGCCTCGTGAGATGGATGCTATTGTCCTCAGGAAAATTCTGAGGACAATTCTGAGGACAAGAATTCTGAGGACAAAAGCCAGCGCCACGCCCAGAAGTTAGCCTTGCTTCACTCAATCTTACACTTTGCGAACGCTGCACAATTGGAGGATGAATCTATGTGGATGCAATCGTATCGTGGCGATCTTCTCATACCAGCTCCTCTAGTATCGACTCCAGCTCCTCTCTCCTGAAGGGAACGACAAGTCGCTCGGTGCCAAGCCCGTCTTTCCGACTTTCGATCATTTGGTGATCGTGGAATTCCTTCAGTAGTGTCCTAAAGTTCACCTCACTCGAACAAACAAACTCTTCCACTGCCTTGTGATACAATGTCCTGTACTCAATGCCGATCGGTGCGTTCGGCGCAGGCGCCGAAGCCTTGGCAGGTTTGGCTTTTGATTTTGCCGGTCGGCCCCGTCCACGCCTCGAAGGTGTCTGCTGCTCTGCCGCTGCTTCATCTTCATCCTCTGCGCCGATAATATCTTCCGCATCGCTGTCATGGGCAACACCGTTGAGCAGAGCATCGTCTTCAGTGTCGGCCAATGCAAGCTGCTCTGCGACGAGGATGCGAAATAAGCTTCGCGCATTCTCTGGTAGCGATTTCAACACGTAGCCAACCCCGTCTTTGCCACCTAAGCGCCGGCTGCTTCTGCCCAGCAGAGCATTCACCTCTTCCACAACTTCGATCTCAGCTGTGTATGGTGCAAAGGTCGTCGCGTCGTGATAGAGGAAGCGTAGTTGAGACGAAAGTGATACGTCCCACAGGAGTGGAAAGTTCGGCGTGTCGCACGAAGCCAACAGCGATATGCTGGCGTGTGAAGCCAATCTCGCGACCAGCGTCTGCGTTGCAGATTTGCGAAGGTTGGCGTGATCAAGTGAGTGAATGATGAGGACGATCTTTTGTTTTGGCGGACTTTCTGTGAGCGTAGTTGAAAGCAAATCGAGCATTGCCGTCGGCTGTGCTGGGAGCTTAGTGCTTTTTGGAAGCACAACGCCAGCCAGCGAATTGAGAGCGTCACGTATGGTGAGACCAGGTGTGTACCCATTGACTACCACAATATTCGGCGACTTCTCGCATTGGTAGTACATGTGCTCGGCAAAGTCCATCAGCAGGTCTCGTTTGGAACCATAGCCGTAGAAGCAGAGATTGAAGTTTTCTTCCAGCTCAAACATCCATTGATCATATGCTCGCGCATGTAGTTCCCTGAGCATTTTCATGTCTGTGTCGTGAGGATCTTTGTAAGCATTCATCTGCGCAAAGTAGTCCTCGTGGTTCAACAGCAGGTGCGAGGGCATTGTGTTGGCAGAAGTCCTATTGCCGCCTGCCCGATTCTGAAAGAAGTACAGCTCATGAGGCGGCATATCAGGCGGCGGACTCGGAGTACGTTCACGCCGTCGGCCTTTGGGTCGTCCTCCCTGCCTGCCAGTCTTGGAGGGTGTCGCTGGGTGGCCCACGTCCACCGCATCGTCCACCTCTTCATCCTCGTCGCCCTCGTCTTCGCCCAGAATTGCGTGCGCTATAGCGTCTTCTCGAACGTCATCCTCCGCATCGCTGTCTTCGGTCTGCGCGATCTGCTTCTGCAACGTCCGCTGGCTCTTTCTACGCGCTGAGCGATCGTTCCGTGCTGCTGCTGATGCATCTTCATCGTCGCCATCGACTTGTTCTCCTTCCTTGTAAGGCGTCGAGAACAGCACCTTGCGCAGTGAGCTAGGAGTAGCCTCAACCGACTTCAGCCCGTTTGCCTTGCTTGGTGTTTCTTTCAAGATTGACTTTCGCTTCGATGGTGTTTCCAATGTTCGCGAAGGGCTGGGGACCGCAGGCTCGTTATCATCTTTCGCACTTCTCCTCGTCTTGCGTGGTGTAGGATCATCGTCTTCGTGCAAATCGTCCGTCTTCCGCCGTTTGGGCATATTTGGTGTAGACAGTCGCGTTCGTAAATTGTGAGACGCGACGTTCATCTCCAGAACGGACCAAATTCCGCATCCCATATGCACTCCCTGAGCTTCCACTGCTACCGTTCACTCTTCCACCAGCATCCCCAATTACTACCGCAGCAACACCGCCAAGATGCTGTCCGGAGTGCTGCTGTTCAACCAGAAGGGCGAGCTGCTCATCATGCGCGCCTTCCGCCAGGACATGCGCCCTCGACTCGCCGACGTCTTCCGCATCCAAGTAATCAGCAACCCTCAGATCAGATCGCCCATTCTCACCCTCGGAAGCACGACATTCAGCCACATCAAGAGCGAGAACATATACATCGTCGGCGTCAGCAAGGGTAACGTTAACAGCGCGTTGGTATTCGAGTTCCTGTACAAGCTGGTCCAACTGGGCAAGAGCTACTTTGGCCGCTTCGATGAGGAGGCTGTCAAGAGCAACTTTGTTATGGTCTACGAATTGCTGGACGAGATCCTGGATTTTGGCTATCCTCAAAATACAGAGACCGAGACATTGAAAATGTACATCACTACAGAGGGTGTCAAGTCAGAACGCGCACTGGAGGACAGCAGCAAGATCACAATGCAAGCCACTGGAGCGCTAAGCTGGAGAAGAGACAATATCAAATACCGCAAGAACGAGGCTTTTGTGGATGTGATTGAGGACGTCAATCTTCTGGTGTCAGCATCGGGGACTGTGCTTCGCGCGGACGTCAACGGAGCCATAGAGATGCGTGCCTACCTGTCAGGTACGCCAGAATGCAAGTTTGGTCTGAACGATGCTTTGACGCTGGCATCGCATTCTGGAGGCGTGGATGGACAAGGTGGTCCCATCGGCAACTTGCCTGGCAACAAGGCAACCAAAGCCGCTGCAGGCTCAGTCACTTTGGAAGACGTTTCGCTTCATCAATGCGTGAAGCTCAGCTCATTTACCTCCGATCGGACCATTTCATTCATCCCACCGGACGGCTCCTTCCAGCTCATGTCGTATCGCTGCTCGGAGAACGTCAACCTGCCATTCAAGGTACACGCTATCGTCAATGAAATTGGACGAAGCAAAGTCGAGTACTCAATCGCAATCCGGGCCAATTATGGTGCAAAGCTTTTCGCTACCAATGTATCCGTTCGCATACCTACACCGCTCAACACAGCAAACACAACCCATCGCACCTCGCAAGGCAAGGCCAAGTACGTCCCAGCTGAAAATGTGATCGAGTGGAAGATTGCACGATTCACTGGCCAGAGTGAATTTGTCCTGAGCGCAGAGGCTGAGCTGAGTGCCATGACCACGTACAAGGCTTGGTCAAGACCGCCGCTGAGCATGCAATTCAGCTTGTTGATGTTCACGAGTTCAGGGCTTCTTGTGCGCTATCTGAAGGTGTTTGAGAAGGGCAATTATAGCAGTGTCAAGTGGGTGCGGTACATGACAAGAGCTGGAAGCTACGAGATCAGATTTTGAGGCCTTTTTAATAAGGATTATGATGATACCCCCAAAGGCGCTGTTTTATCGTGTAGAGATGATTTGATGGATGCCAATCAACAAGAAAATAGGTCGTGTGTGCGGATGAGACGGTTTCACAATGCGGGCTGTCTCGGAAAGCCTCACTTTTGCACTTTCACATGCTGCGAGCCTTCAAAGCGCATCACCTCTGAACTTACCTTTGCGCACAGTCGACTCCATCACCAACACAGCACATCGCTCAACGGCACATGCATGCGATCCACAATCTGCGACAACACGATATCGGTGGTCGCTTCCATGATATGAACGCGCCGAGAGATAGCACACCGTCTTCAACAACCGACAGCGCGATTGGCAGTGACATACCATTCGCGCAAGCGAGCCCACGTTCTCCAACTCCAGGGTCATCGAGCTATAACAACATCTCGTCTAATCGCCAGGCATTTGTGGCTTCAGATACCATGCGCAGCGACGGCTTCGATGTTGTAACGGCAACGCTGGATGAGTGGGAAGCGCGCGATGCACCAAGAGCTTCGAACCATGCCGTCGAGCCAAGTGTTCCAAAGCCATTGGATGAAGGCATCTCCCAAGAGCGTCGAAACGGCTCTGCAGAACATCCCGAGGTCATCGAGGAGGAAGCCGAAGCAAATCTTGAGCAGAGTATTGCCAAAGTTCTCGAAGTCGTAGGGACATCCAAAGAGGATGCACAAGATCTGCTTCGCCAATCCCGCGGCGATGTCCAAGAAGCAGTTGGACGCTTCTATGAACGTAACTCGCCAACGCTGGTAGAAGAAGCTCTTACCGAGATGGAGCTTGGGAAGTGCACAAAGACGAGGAAGAAGTTTCTGCGCAAAGGCGACGTTCTAATCGTGCTGGATTGTAACACTTTGGGCTTGAGCTGCAGATTGCGAGCAGAAGAGCTCCGGGCGGCATCTCTTTGGTTGGCGGAGTCATTGTCCTCCGCGGCTCCAACTTCACTAGGCCCAGATGGTGTGAACTATCTCTACACTTTGCAGAGCCCTGCCGTAGCCGGTGGTGTGCCCGAGCTGCTTCTACAAGATTTGCAAGTACTGAAGCGGGACTGCAGAACAAAATCTCAGCAAGAAGGAGTTGAAGAAGTCTGTCAAGCAAGAAGATGATGGTGAAGCTGAAGCCACAGCCAAGGTTGATGCGCAAAAGAGTATGGAATGGCTCAAAGCATACGAAACGTTCTTCCGAATCACTGCGCATACTTCTCCCAAGCACCTGCTGCTGGATCAGGACAGCGTCAACAAGTCTCTTCCGCGCATCGAAGCAGTATCAAAACTTGCGCACCTTTACGAAGCAAACACTCCCAGCTCACCAGTCACGAGCGCACTTACCGTCGTCTTTGACGGGTTTGACGAACGAAACATGCTATGGGCCTCGATTGCTGGAAATGCTGTGAAATGGCTGGCTATTGCGTCCAACCTCAAAAAGGCGTCAATATACAAGGAGGCGTTTGTGCATGTCGCTAGCGCCTTCCTCACACTTCCAAGCGGTCTGGAGGAGCAAGGTCTTCCACAGTGTGTTCGATCAAAGGTAGAGTATCGTGCGAGAGAGATGGAGTACCAGCGCATCTCTGTCAACAGTTCACTACTCAGCTTCACTATCAAGGCTTCTGGAGGCAGGGAAGTACCTGTCAGCCCAAGCACTGATTTCCTCCCCTACAGCGTGCTGGTCTTCTACAAAGAGTGGTATGTTTTTAATATCTGCCAAGGAGAAAGTCTATTGTACTGACACTGTTACAGGATTGCAGAGCATCTCCGCTTCCACGAAAGCAACGCTGTACAGGTGCAGACCAACGCATTCTGCAATCATGAGGAGCAGGATTGTCTCCAAATCGCGGAGTTCTACCGACTTTTAGGTGGCGCTGACGACTATTTGCCCGAGGGTCAAGTCTTCGCGGCAGTGACGCGCCGTAGCTCTGAAGGTCGCCGAGACAGTGTCCGCGAACTCGACCCCGACAAGAAAGAAGAAGTGCGGGCAATTCTGAAGACCATCAAGGCCAGAGCGGCGGAGATCGTCAAGCCGATGGTCACCAGTACTCTGCGCTGGACAGATAGAGACTCTCTTCCATATTTGACGAGCCTTGTGGTTGATGAGGAAGACTTTCCCTGGAAAGCTGAGGTGAAGAGGGAGGAAAGCGTGACGAGTGAGGACAGCGAAGAGGAAGACACAGACATGGAGGACTGAGGACATGCAGCTCGATCAGGCTCTCTGCCTCAGGCACTTTGCAAGCAGGCTGGAGCTTATTCGCACTGCTAGCCATTACCCTTTCGACAGTAGGTGATAGGCTGGAATTAAGCTTTGACATAAATACCACAGCTTCTTATTTCACCACTTTGAACATGCTAAATTCTACACAGAACTCAGACGTTGTGACACTCGATCAAATTCTAGGCCGAACTGCACTCCAAGCAAACAATGGCGCGATTTCCGCAAACCACCTCCGCGCATGTCTACGAAGATGTCTTTGAAGACTCCGCCGACGAGGACGAACAAGCCCAAGCCCACAACCCAGGCTACTCACCAGTCATCCTAGACTGGATCGACCGTTTCTGGGAAGAAGACTTCGATTCCCCCAATCCCGCACACGACCAAGCCATCGCCTTCTCCGCCGCCTTAACCGCTCAATCCACAACTGGCGCCAACTTCTTCCGCGCGCGAGAACCAGAAATTTCACCTCGAGAAATAGGTCTCAAAGACAAACAGGCGGTTGAACACGCGCAACGATACGATCCCCTTGCCCTCGAGGCGAGAATTCGAGGTGTTGAGATTGAAAGAAGGAGGGTGGAGAATTCTAAACCTGTTGTGATGAAAGAAGAGCAGCCTGTGCGACAGAAACCTGCGGCGAATGCTCCTGCTAAAGTTCACGAGGCTATTACACTTGCTGCGAGTCGTTTTTGTGAGGATAGTGAGGATGCTATACGCATGCTTAATACTCTGGCTATGCAACGGCCGGATTTGAAGTTGGAGTGTGCGCTTGAGAAGGAGAGGTGGGCGGCCAGACGGAGTGTGGCGAAGAGGCGGGCTGAGAAGGAGGAGAAGGGTGAGGGTGAGAGGATGAGGGGGGAGGGTGGAGGGAAGGGGGCTAGGGAAGGGGGTTGTCGGAGGCAGTAGACTATAGGGTAATCGAGTCTGGTTGTATTGGGGTGGGAGGGTATGGGCGCGGCGCTGTCGAGGGGTTGTGTTTTTTAGGTATTCGTCGCCGTCGTTCGCTGCAGCACTGCCGAGACCATACATTTTGAATGGAAAGCTACCTAGCCACAAGTTCACTCACACTGGCGTGCGGGGATTGAAAATCAATAGAATATATCTAACCACGCTTGGCAAGAGGAGTCAGGGGATGAATGCGCAAGCAAGCAAGACTACACTCTTCTCCATTTCCTATCATCACACTCCTCGCTCTACCATCATCACCACCACCACCATGTCGAAACTCCTCGACTCGACAGCCTTTACCTCGCCACGCTCCCGCCAGTTCTCAAAATATAGCATGCTAGGCCTCTCCTTCGCAATCCTAAACTCCTAGCAGCAGCCTTGTCCTTCGCGGCGGCCATTATATGGTTTCGAAACATCAGGAATCTACAACCTCTCCTTCTTCCTCGCCGCTTCTCTCGCGGAATTTTCTTTTGTCTTGCAGATCCAACTGCTTGGTGGACAAATCGCGGTCATGAGTCCTCAAAGATGAAAGAGTGGATTAGTTTATCTGGGTGGTGGGTGGCGTGATTGATTCTTGCATTGGAACATCTGGGTTATGTTCCGCTGGGGTGGGATCGGGGTTGGATTTGTATTGTTGTGTTTGCGCGTTCGACGGAGCGGCAGGATGGGCTGGCGTGGTTGTTGGAGATTTTCGAAGGGTGGGTTGGCTTTGACAGTTTTTGATCCTGTTGCGCATATGGTGAGTTGAAATTATATTCATATTTGCGTTGCTACTTCATGCTTACGCTTGGACAGATCGAAGTGATCCCGAACTCATCGATCGAAGGACCGAAGATCATGGTGTACTGCCAGTACATCGGTATCAGCACAAGGTTGGTGTTCCTCATTATTCTGCTCTTCGTTTCCGGCGGACAGGCAAATCTCGACACGATCATTTCTTCGCCACTCGGTCCGCCTCTCCAGATCCTGACATTGCGACTTCAAGAAAATTCGGCGCCATTGGCTTGCTCATCTTCCCACTCATCTGCCTTCATGTTCTCTGGCAACTCAGTCCTGACAACATCCCCACGAATGACATTTGCTTTCGCTCGAGACGGTCGAAATTGTGGTGGGAGGCGCACCCGAAGCTTGGTGTGTCATTGAGCGCCCTCTACCTGAATGTCGTGGTAGGGGTGATCGTCGGCTGCATCTTTCTTGGGAATAGTGTGGCATTCAATGCGATCACTGCTGCTTTTGTACCTGGTAGTGGCTCTGGGAGTCAGCGACGGTATGTCTTCCAAGGTAGTCGGACATTGCCCGAGCATGCTTTTGCTCTTCCCACGTGGCTTGGATGGGCTGCGAACATTATCGGACTGGAGTACACGGTTTTCACCACGGTCCTCTTCGTCTTCCCTCCCTGACTGGATCGACCATGAACTAATGCATCGTCGCATTCGCCATAACCTTCTTGATCAGTGTCGTGCAGTGGGTTGTGGTTTTTCTCAAATATTATGAAGCGCCGAAAGTGACGCTGGGTGTCGGAGAGCATGTGCAGGAGGCACGTCAAGGCGAAGTATCGATGCGGGAGTTTAAAAAGCTATGCAGACGTAGTAGTCTACTTCTCATAATCACATACCATCATTCTTTCCCTCACCCAACGAGCCGGTCACTTTTGTCAGACTTGAATATAGTTCCTCAAACTCTCCAGCAGATGGGGACTGAACACCCTCCTCGTTCGCGTATATGCCTTGATCATTCTGGCGCCACACCAGCTGCTGTAGCCGCCGAGCATCCAGAATGTTCCTCTCAATCAGCCTTCCAACTTCCTTGATCTGGCCGGTATAATCCCTTTCGTATCGCGCCACAGTTGGGATATTGATAATACGCCAAGGGTCTTTGCGCCATGGGTTCTTACAACTGCGCCAACTGGTCAGAAGTATCAGCGAACACGTCATATTATCTGCCAAAGACCGATAGAGGAAAGACTCGCTCCTCTGGTAGCCCAACGGGCACAAAGATCGCCCGCTTGTCTTTGTGAGAAAATGTCGTCTCGAGACTTGGTAGCGCAAGTCTCACGTCCGGATGCCATGGTTGCCCGGTATGTGGGTCATTCGAGGATAGGAAGACGATGAAGAGTGCGCTATCTTGAGCTAGTCGGAGGTCTTGCATGTTGCCGAGGGTCTGTCCTGCTAACTGGAAGGTTGTGTATGGCATGGTTCCTGATTTGTGTGTTGGTGGAATGCTGCCTGGTGGAATGTCGAGTGCTGATTGTTTGGACGTAAACGATGAAGAGGCAAAGCAACAAGTTATCGCTGTCTCAGCCGCTCTTGCGACTTCTCAATCCTACTGCAGTCTGGCGTCTGGGACTAGGGAGTTGCGAGAGCAGCGTAGACTGAGAATTGGCAGGAAGGTGTCGCGATGTCTTGAGCGCGCCTGATAGCACCGACATACGCGCCGTAGGCTCCCAGTACGGTCCTTCCAAAATTGAAGCTTATTTGCACCACCTTCGGACCGGATTCTCATCTCGCCAATTCTTGGGCCTGAATGCAGCAGCCAAACGCCATGCTCTTACGCTTCAAGCCTTTGAAAGATAACAATCAGTCTTTTCACGCCTTTGGCTTCCCCATCATGCCTACACCACTGCGGACGACACCAACCAGACCTCCTGTCTGCACACTTTCGCTGGCAACACCACTAAGGACGATGCTCGATCTCCGGGAGACCCTCCAGCCAAGCCACTCTGGTCTGAGCCGGGACCTCAAGCTCCGTAAGCTCATCGCCCAGCGCAGTCAGAATGTCCGCCAACGCCAGACCTTTCGTCTTCTTCAAGACATTGATTGTCGTCAAGCACGACCCAACATTTTTGGTCGTAAGCAGTGTCTGGATAATCATCTTGATATCTGCTGGGTGCGGTGCAGCAATACAATCATAAATCGTCTCCATCGTGATCAGATCTCGTTGGATGTCTTTGCCCTCCTTGACTGGTTCGCCGGGAACGTGAAGTGGCGTTGATGAAGCATGGCATGCTTGCAGCACATTCAATGCCCGTCTCATGTCTCCCTTGGAAAGTGTGACCAGGCTGTCTGTTGCGTCCGAAGCAATATTCACGCCTTCTTCGATGATGACTTTGTCGACCAATCTTCGGATATCAGGCTCTTTCAGTGGCGAGAAACGGAATCTCGTACATCTGGACAGGAGTGCGGGGCTGAGTTTGTGAGTGTAGTTGGCGATGATGCAGAATCTTGTGTTGGCCGTGTATCTCTCCATGATTCGTCTCAGCGCCATTTGCGCGGTACTTGTCATCGCATCCGCCTCGTCGAGAATGATGAGCTTGTATGTCGCCATGCTGTCGTCCTGCTTGCTCTTGTCGAAGCTCCCGGCGAAGATCTGTTTCGTAGAGCTGAAGGTCTTGATCTGTTCTCGCACAACGTCAATACCTCGGTCGTCGGAAGCATTGAGCTCGAGAACCATTTGGCGCATGTTCTTGTTGCCGTATATCTTGCGAGCCAAGGCGAGCACTGTGGAGGTCTTGCCTGTGCCTGGTGGGCCGTAGAGGAGGAGATGTGGGAGGCGATTCGAGTCGACGAATTTGTTGATTGTGGCGAGGATGTCTTGGTGTCCGGAGACGTCTGAGAGGGAGTTGGGTCTGTACTTTTCTACCCATGGCAGGTTGTCTTCGGCTTCGACTGGGAGATTGGCGGCGCTGCGTTTGCCTTTGCTGTCTTTTGCCGAGGAGAATTGGATGTCGTTGGATGGGCGGTCGATTTCCATTTCGTCGTTATCTTCGAAGTCTGACATGTCGGCGGTTTTGGTGGTATTGATGGGCAGTAACGTCGTTGCTGTATATCGTGGAAAATAGGTCTGTCGCCAATGTGAAAGTGGAGCAACAGTTAACGCGGGGCGTGTGCTTTTCGTGACAAGGTCTGTGCGTATCTTCGAAACGCCCCGAGACATCCCTGGCACTTATACCGAGCCCTAGCTGCCCGCCCGAGCCCCAGTGGATACGTGGATTATGAGATCGACTGTTACTAACTAAATCGCGTGTAGAAGCGATAATCGCATCCCCGTAACTATCTCCGACTAGGTAACTATACTACTACTATCTATAAAGCTAAAGATTATTAGCAAATTAGTAGTATAGCAAAATTTAAGGTATTGTTAGTTGCTAGCTATCTACTTAGGTCTAAGCGGGTTACGACCTATAGCCTTATAACTACGCGAGGCTATATATACTAGCTTATATTAGTCTCTTAGTTGTTAACTCGCCTACTACTATATATAATACTGCTACTAAGTAAACTAATAGTGCTATTGCTATAGCACCTAGTAGTAAAGTAGCCGTCCTATCGGCTGTGTTAGTAAATACTAATACTGCTATTGCTGCTATTACTACTAAGTAGCCTATCGTTGTTACTATTTAAATAACGCCGCCTACTATTAGCTATATTTAATCTGCTAGAGTAAGCGCTATTCTTTACGCGTACGTAGGTTATTAACCTCTTACCGCAGTAGATCTAGCTTAGAAGGAGGTTGTAGAGCGTCTAGAAGTAATAGCTTAGTACGTAGATTATAGTACTCGAAGCCTACTAGATAGTAGGTAGAGCTATATGCTCGGTTAGCCTTCTAGTAAGGGCACTATTAAGTACAGCATTAGCTCTTTACGTACTTGTAGTGCTCGACAGTCGTCCTTAATTAAGTAAGTAATATACTAGGCTCGAGTACGAAGTCCGTCGTTCTTGCTATCGCTATCTTCTACTTCTTAGCAACTATAGTCTTATTTAGGTCGTCTAATTCTCGAGCCGTTGCTACGCGCTTTATTAAGTATAGTATCGCTCCGCCGGTTATAGGTTTACGGTTGCTATATACTATAGTAGGCTCTCGTAAACGTAGTAACTTCGAGAAGTCGATATACTAGTAAGCGTAGAAGTAGCTTAGTAATAGTATAGTACGACTACTACCTGTCTCGAGAATCTTTATTAGGGCGTATATATAAGGATAACTATAGGTCCTACTAAGGTAGTCGTTATAGCGGCACTATAAGCAGCTATACGAGAAGGCTAAATACTTAATCTCGTTGCTATTGTCGTTAGTTGTAGTCCTTAGAAGTGCTATAGCACGTACGTAGAGCTATTATACCTCGTAACCTCGAGAAGGTAGTAGTCGCTAATTACTCGAGATACGCTTGCCTAGAATAGACTAATAATAGCCTTATTACAGCGCTTTAGATTGTTAGCAAGTATATAGCGGCGGCGGTCGTAACCCTCGTTCTACTACTTAATAAGTGCTTTAAAGAGCGTAAAGATATCGTAGCGACTGCTATAGTTTAGCTATAGTTTAATCCGTCCGTAGTAAGACTCGACTCGTAAGGTTGTCTTACAACTAAAGTAGAGTACTTCGTTAGTCTAGCAGTCGACTATTCGTTGCTTATAGCGCTACTAGTTCTTATAAAGATAGGCCTTAAATATAGGATAGACGTTGTCTAGTTTATTAGCGTTGCTATTAAACTCGTCTTCGGTTTAGCTATAAATAGTATAGACAAACAGCTTTATAAACTAGCTAGTTTAAGGGCTATTAGTCTAGCCGCTATTATCGTCCTTAACCTATGCAAACTCGCCTCGTTCTTTACGTACTCGAGTAAGTATGTCTTGCTATAGATGCTAGTTATAGATAATATTCTTAGCGTTAGGAAACACCTCCTTATAAGCTAGCATTAATGCCTCTTTACGGTTAGTACTAACAACTAGTAGTATAGCGCATCCGGCGGCTTTAAAGGCCTGTTTAATAGACCTAAGAAGTTGTACAAAATCGGCCTTATTAGGCTTCGGACGGACAAGGCTAATACCGAGCTTAATCGTATTATTTAAAGGTCTAGTAGCGACTATATCTAGCAACTCGAGGTTGTATAGATTAGTCGAATACGTAGTATTTAGTACAAGCGTATAAGGCGTTAGTTTAAAGGCTTTAATTAAGACTAGATAAAGAGCTACTATAGATTTAATAGCGCTATTAGGTTTAGTTTAAATATCCTTATAGATATCGTATTCCTCGAGCAATTTAACTATCCGCTCGGCTTAATTAGCTTCTCGTCGTACGCTAAGGTTGCGAAGCTAAGAGACATTATATAGGTCTTGTAATTTAATAATAATACTACGGCCTCGGAAATAGGCTATTATCTTAGACGTTAGTATTCGCGCGGACTAAAGCCGTTCTAGTTGCTCGAGGAAATTAGCCGTTCTTAAGCGACTTCTATAGATAGTAAGACTAACAACGTCGTTAGGTCTATAGTTATAGCAATAGTAAGCTTCTTTATTAGAATAGCGGATAGTCTAGCTACTAGAAGGGTTAGAAGGGTCGATAGTAACGGCGTAGAAGTAGAACTAATACCCTATCTTCTTAGTTATTGTCTTCCTTCGAGTCGTATTCTACGTCCTTTTATTAGGCTAACTAAAGTACCTATAGATATAGAGATAGCGATATTTAACGCCTTTAATATTCTTCCGCGGCTTCTACTCCTTAAACTCGTATCTCTTTACCTTTCTAAACTCTTCCTATATATATATCTCGAGCGCTATATACGATACAAAGTCGACTTCGCGAGGTATAGGTCTACGGCGGAGCGCTTTCTTCGAGAATAGGTGCTTCTACGGCCTTAGAGAGACTAATCGATATTTAGGTAGAGATATACGCTCGCGCGGTAGCGATAGTAAGCGCGAGCGGCCTCGAATACGTATCTCCGAGACAAATTGAACCTCTTCCTACGACTCGACAACTACCGCCGAAAGCGCGCCTTCTACCTCTATTTCTACCTCTTCCTACGACTTAATAACTACTACGCCTCCTATACCTTCTACTACCGCCGCCGCGCCGCTACCGCCGTTACCGCTACTAGCGACGAGATTATCGAGAAACTTATTAATATATACCTCGTATAATAGAGATTCGGCTATTTTCGATAGTTACTAGGCAATCTACTATAAAAGGGGGAAGAAATGCGAATTTTAGGTCTATAGTAGACTTAGAGGCGCGAATTCCTAGGTAACGCGCTCCGCGCTACTAACTAAGAATAGATATAATATATAATAGATAGAAATAGTATATAATCTTATTTAGCGCGATTCTATATTAGTATATCTACTAGGGCTCGGGCGGGCAGCTAGGGCTCGGTATAAGTGCTAGGCGAGACATCTTTCTAGCTAGGTAAGACTATATTATTACGTATAGCGCAGTTAATTGCTTTCGTAATACTATGCTATCGGCGATTAATAGTCTTCGTTAATTGCCTATATTCTATCTATTCTATAGACTAAAAAATAGTATAAAAATTCTTTATATACTAGGAAGTTATATAATAGTTATATAACTAAACTAGTACGTTATATATCCCCTTACCTTATATAAAAGGGATATACCTTCCCTTTTAGGTAAGATAGCTAATATTTTTTTATATAAAAATAGAAAAGAAAACTAATCTATTATTAGGGCTAAAGAGGCTATATATAATTAGTATATAACTAGGCCGAGTAAAGCTAGGGTCTCGAAGCCTTAGGTAGGGCTTAGCGCTTAGCGTTAGGCTAACTTACCTACCTTCCTCCCTTTCCTCCTAAATCCTTATTAAATACTACTTATACCTACTACTACCCTATTAACCTACTAATATACCCTTCTTATATAGTATTCGATCTACCCTTTAAGGGTATTAGCTAGATAGTCCTTATTTTAAGCTTTTAGCGGTATAGCTACGAAAACTACTAATCTAACTATATTACGCCCGAAGAACGGGACCTATATATACTATTCTACTAAAACAACTATACTAATTATTAAGCAAGGCCTTCTATACGGCCTATTATACTAAGTTAATCGTACTAGGCCGATACCTACTAATTCCGCTCTATCCGTATTATAGGGGCCTATAATATATTATTAGTATTACCCCTTATAATAGCCGGCTTATTACGAAGCAATAACCGCGGCGCCGCTAGTAGCGCTAGTAATAATAATACTAGTAGTATAGAGCCTATTAAGGAACCTATAGTTCTAGGTAATAACCTAGAATTGCCTATTAACGATATTCTTAATAAGATTATTAATCGACGATATAGCTAACTAGCCTTTAGCCCCTAACTAGTAGGGAGACTTTAAGAAGCTACTTAGAACAGGCTCGCTACTTTGCGTTAAGAATAATAGCTAAAGGATAATCTCCTAGAGCTTCGCTACCTTTAGGAATCCCCGATAACTACTACTAAACTAATAGTAGGACCTTCCTTACTATCCGTTTAGAAGAAGAAGGATACTAAGCTTAAGGACTATACCGTATTTAACGGCTCTAGTCGCAAGCAATATAATAATTATATACGTAATTATAAACTTAACTAGCGTAACGCGCTAAGGGCGCTTCTAGATAATTACTTACTAGTCGTCTATGCTATATAGTATATTAATAGCGACCTAAAGCGTACTTAGGATAACTATTTCGACTCCCTTAACGATTAGACCGCTATTTAGTAGCAAACCTATAAAACTATTATACTAGACACCCTTAGAAACCCTATACTAAGGCAATAGCATACTTAGGACTAGTATCTTCGGGCTAAATAAAAGACTAATTAATCGGCTCGCTTATTTAAGGCCTATTTAAAGACCCTCGAAGATAACCTTCTAGCTAAGACTAATTCTATATAGATCTCCGAGATACGCCTAAAGCTTAGGTAGGAGCTTATCCTCGAACTAGACCGTCGCCCTATATTCGAATAGGCTAACCTAATATATATTTAATTTATAGTCGAAGTAGAAATAGC